GACCCTGTCTAGCCAACTGGAGTCAACAGATGAGCATCTTAGGGACAGGGACAGTCCCTTCTAGCCCAGCCCCAGGATAGCCTGGCCAAGTTTTTACAGGTTCTTTCTGAAGGTGAGGTTCCTCAGGGCTCATGCTAAGAGCAATTTATTAGCTACACAGTCCGGAGTCTGCTCAGGATTGAAGCCACGTGGGACCAGCCTGTGTATGCAATGCTGCTGAAGGAGCAGGGAAGCCTGGTGCTCCCGTCCCCCTATGAGCAGCCAGATGGGTTTATTGGGAGGACTTTGGCTCAAACAGGCAATCCCTGTATCTCCCAGGGTGAGTGCCAGCTTCATCCCTGCGCTCGCCTGCCCACGGGGCCCTCACAGGACGCAGCAGGTGCAGGAGATGGGCCTGTGCTGCTGCAGCCGCTGCTGGAGCTGCTCCTTCTCGGCCGTCAGCACCTTCACCCTCTCCTCCAGCTTGCTCAGCTCTGCTGCCCACTTCTGAGGGGACATCATAGAAACCGCTGTCTAAGCTGACATAATCTCAGGTCCACACACACTCCTCCCAGGATTGAACTGATGGAGGAGGGCAAGGCCCAGAGAGCCTGGGAGGGGGGGTGGGGGGGCTGCTCAAGGCCTCTGGCACCAGATTGGCACTGCTAGGTTGGGAAGCCTGGTCCCCAGGCCACGCAGATACCCCTGATGGATCAGCTCTGGGTCTTGAGGGAAGCTGAGCATCCCAAGCCCTGGGATGACCTGTCCCCTGCAGCCTCCTCGAGTACCAGAGGCAGCTCAGGTGGCAGCCCCTCCTCCCGCAATGTTCTCTCTCTCCACCTTCCTCTGCTTTTCTGCCACCTGATGTTTCCCTCTTGAAAAGGCTTTTGCTTGGGACTATGTCCAGCACTCCCTGCCCCTTATCTTGAGGGCCTCCCCCAAAATGTATACAGCCCTCGGGGTTGTCTTAAAATTTCTCAATATTCTACTCTGCTGACTCCCCCAGCCACTCAATGGTGGAATATGGCAGGTGGGAGGGATATTTCAATTCAGCCCCTCGGACACACTCACGGGGCAATGGAGCATCAAGGGAAACCTGAGGGCTTGCCCAGGACTGCTCAGCTTGGCCCCCATCCCACCTGACCAGCCTCGCCACTTACCTGTCTGCACCACTCCTGGATGGCGTGGACGGCCAGCGGGCCCTGGATGCTCCCCTCACGCCGCAGGAACACCTCCCCTAGGTCTGTCTCGTAGAGCTGCGGCTCCGCCTGGGCCTTGGGGGCGTGCACGCTCAGGCGGATCACCTGGCCAAGGGCAACAACAGCTCTGGGATGCTGCACGGGAGAGCGTGCAGCCCAAATCCCGCCCTGCTTGGTCCTGGCTTTCGGCTCCTGGGGACAGCCTGTGGGGCTGGCGCAGGGCTAGTCCAAGTCTCTTTTCTCATCACCATTTCCCGACTCCCCCTTGCGCCACCTCCTGCCCAGCACTGCTCAGCAGAATGGATGTGGGCCATCACGTGTAGGGTGATGAAATGACAGATGACAACAGCCCCAGAGACCTTCCTGTCCCGCAGCTCACCTTGAGGGGCGTGCCGCTGGCGGAGGTGGTGACCACTGGGATGAAAGTGAGCGTGTAGGCGTCAGGGAAGACCTGCGGCCTGAAGCCCTGCAGGACAGAGTCCACCAGCAGGCGCACGCGGTCCTCCTCGTGGTGGCTGCAGCGGATGCCCCGCACGAGCCCGCTGTCCTCCACGCCCACCAACAGGCTGCCGCCCTCGCTGTTGAGGAAGGCGCACACGTAGCGCCGCAGGTGGTGCTTGAAGG